ATTATTTATAAAAACTATTTAATTTTTTCAAATTTTTTTTCTTCAAAATTTTAGATCTATGCTGTTCTAAAACTATATACATTTTTAATATTTTTCACCCTTATATTAGGTAAACCACTATCAACTATTGATTTTTAAATGGCAACCTATATTAAAAATATCATAAATTAATAAGGCTATTTTTTAAATAAATTTTCATTTTTCGTTAATCCGTTGACGAGATATAGTTTTCCAAAGTTGGATGGTTTTGTGGTTGTGTTTGTGTATACAGCGGCATCAGCGATTGGGAGTTTTGTACTCTAACCTAAGTTGTGCCCCAAAATAGGTAAACATATTTATACAGGACAAACACCACCCCAAAACCATCCAACTTTGAGAGACTATAACTCATCAACGGATTAACGAAAAATAAAAATTTAAATGTGAAAATTTATTAAAAAAATAGTCTTATTAATTTATGATATTTTTAATATAGGTTGCCATTTAAAAATCAAAAGTTGATAGTGGTTTACCTAATAAATATAAGGGTGAAAAATATTAAAAATGTATATAGGTTTAGAACATTATGTATCTAAAATTTTGAAAAAAAAAAAAATTTAAAAAAGTAAAGTTTTTATAAATAATGAGTGTTTTTACGCCTCATGAATCACCCTGTATGATTACCAAACCATTTATCATTATCTACATAAATAATTAGACGTTGTATTACTGAAATATTAACAAATGAAAAACTAATATTAATTTAAAAAAAGCTAAGGTTCTTTATTTTATTTAACGATGGTTATAAAGATGTAAAGATGAAACTGTTTGTAAAATTATTATAATTGCTGCGTTAATCCCAAACGCTTAACTACTGCTAACTGTGCCCTTGCTGAATCTCTCAATGAAAATATATGTAATAGTTCCTTTTCAGACTTGGATAAAGGTACAGCTTTTTCCAAACATTCAACAGCTTCTTCTAATTTTCCTCTGCAACAGTTATCATAAATTACCATGCATATAAATTATAAATAATGGGTAAACTTTTTAAATAGAGGTTTTTAATGCAGTAAATAATTGATAATAGATGGCAATAATCAAAATTATAATCATTCAAACTATTGAATAATAATTGAAAAATATGTTGTTTCATATGCTATCTAAACAAATTTTCTGTAAATATTATAAACAAATTTCTACTTCATTTTATAATAAACAACAATCAATTAACGTTATGACATAATTCGTTAATAAAGAACAACTTCAAGTTTGTTCAGGCAAGCAAATAACCTAACCCTGATCTATATAAGTATATATTTTAAGTGTATTTTTTATGCACAGCAATACTAMATAGCAGGCATATAGATAGTTGTCTTGATACTGGTGACATAAGGGTATTGCTTAACTGTCACCATCAAAAACTAGTTGCTACTGACTGTATTTCTCAACTTTAATGGAGTATATTATGTAACATCAAGAAAATAGATGTTTATTCCGTGTTCTCAATCATCTAGGCGAGAAGGTTTTGAATACTAAGTCAAAGTATATAATTGTTATGATTGTCCAGGTAAGAAYAAAGAAAAATGCAAGTTCTGATGATTTTTGCAACAATTTGAAAATATGGCATAAAGATATGATGTATATTTTTGCATATCAATTAAAAACTTATGATTTCCAATAATATTAAAATAAAACAAATTGAAGTAATTTTAGAAGCTGCTACATTGGATATTGGTCCCCAGTAAAACTTATAACATATTTATGATACATAACTTATTTAAAGGTGTAAAAATATTTGTAGGCAACTAAAAAAAATATAGGAAGCATGATATTATACCCATTAATAAAAAACAGGCGTGTCAGCAGAATAGATCTGTGCATTAAGTATTCCCCAGACATATAATAAATTAGTGAATCATGAATTCTTTATTAATGCCCCAATGTGTTTAGGGTATAAATTATCGTTTATTCCAAGWCTGGAGCACACATGTACCARTGATAGGAGAAATACGCGAGTTAGCTGATATGCTTGTTTAATTAGTCACGATTATAACTACAAATCTATAGTATGATYTCCACAAAAACTGATGGTACCTTACATTCTTTTTCCATAAAATTGTATTAAACAATTTTAACTATAGATAAATCAGCAWATGTATAAAAATATCTTACGTTTGAATATAAAGTGTTCCCAATGTTTCATAAGCATAATCACATTTTGGGTCAACTTTTATAGCCTGTTCGAGGAAGGTGAATGCTTCGGTGATCGAACTTTTCCATGATAATACAACCAATGCTAAAAAATTATGAACATTTTTACAGTTGGCATTGTATATTTTTTAATGACAATTAAATATTTTAAGAACATAAAAATTTAAGAACCTCTGTGTACTAATAAAGTAGCATTTTCTGGATATATTTCATACACCTTTTTGAATAACAAATCTGCCTCTTCATATGCTCCTTTTTCTGTCAAAGCCTTCAAATACATTTTAAAAATTACTTAATATACTGAAAAAAAGTAATATTGATTGTTACTTGTGCATATAGGGTGTAACTTTCAGCAAAGTCTGGATATTTAATAACAAATCCTTTTAACTTGTTTAGGAATTTTTCAGTGTCCAATTCATTAGATGTGTGTTTTGCATGAAGATATTGAGCATAACAACATTGAACATTTGATAAAATAAATTTAGGAKTTAATTCCACAGCTCGTTTAAAGTCTTCAACTGCTTTCTCGCTATTCATTTCTAATAAATAAATCTAAAAAAGACATTCTCGTCATATGTATCTGTCATAAATTTATCTCTAATATTTTAATGAAATAATAATTATTACTTGAGCTCGATGGTGAAATACTTCTGAACTATTGGGATCAATATTTTCTGCACGTTTTAAATCTTCATAAGATTTTTCCACTTGTTCTTGTTGATGGTAAACTGATGCTCGTTTGATTAAGGAATTAATTACCAACTATTAGCACATAACTTAACATTACTACAATTATCCGAACAATGAATAGCTATACAAATATAGGGCATTATGTTACATTATTATACAGCATTAAATATTATGTTATTTAGACCTTAGAAAAAATACAAAATAATTTATAAGTATCTTGAATTAAACTGTTTGGGTTTATAAATATAAAAAATATAAGTTTCCTAACAATTGAAATTATAGAAAATTACATCATATAAAAACCTTATACATTTAAATTTCAAACATAAAAGAAGGAAAAAACTTAGTTTGAATTTCAGCGTTCTTTTTTTTGTGCTTATTAGTTTGTA